ATATGATTGTGTAGAACCAGCAGGCTCGTTGTCATGCCACCGTGACGTCATCACTTCGGTACTCTATTCTGTAAGAGTTTTCACTTTTTGACTTGCGCAGCATGATTATGTACTGTTGGTCCAGATACACTTGTCTGGAGTTTAAAAATTATTTGCTGTACACACGTAGGTAGTAACAGTAAATGCCAAAACACTGCAGCGACAATGTCAATGACAACCCATAACATTCAGCATCAATGTCGCAGGGATTAGCCCGCACCCATACTGCAAGCATTAACGAGTGATGATAGGTCAAAGTTCGTCTCAATTCTCGCTACACAATAGTGGGCATTTTAGGTTTGTAAACTTGAGAATGTTAATGTTACATGGGCTTACCATTGATTTTTATGTCCTGTCAGTGGCGGATCCAGGTGGGTGGATTTGGGTGGCTTCGCCACCCCTCTGTTGGACTAACATGATTTTTACACATATACTAGTTAATTATTGCCAAGTATAATAGTCGCGTGGCTGTACAAAACAGCACCTGATGCATGGGTTAAATTATGTAATTGAGTGGCAAAGCAGGTTACAACCATTTTGCAGCTTTTTTACAATTTCAATAAAATAAATATAAGCGATGCCCCCCCCCCCCCCCCGTACAGCAATCGATGCCGCGCTGTAAGCGCAATAATTGTTCTACTAAAAAGAGAATTGCCGAGGTCAGAATTAAGCCTGTACATGTACTCAAAAGTGCCTCAAATACCATCTCCTGCGATCTACATTTTCAAAATTTTCTTGGGGAGGACCCCCATACCCCTGCCTCTTTTCACCCCCTCCTTGAAATCCTGGACCTGCCACTGCCTGTGCTAAAGATAGCCAAATGTTTTAGTTAGGCCACCTTGCACAATGTCTAACCTAGATCTTATAAACCCGAATTGTCCTGAATTCTTAAAATGGTGTGTTCGACCGATGCAATTGCAATCGGCAGACATCTGAACAGCGAAATTTCCGTTATGAATTATTTTTGTCATGTGCCGTTGAAAACATCTACGGGTGTGATTAAATCGAAAGTGTCGCTAGAATCTGGCGCTGAAAATTTTGAACGATTCTATCATTCTACATATTTTTGTCGTTGTGGTTGTCGCATGATGTTATGCGTGTGTATGCAACAGCTCATTGGAAACAATAGTTTCTTATTTTCTAAACTGTAAATATGGTCATTTGTTGTCACTGCAGTGTGTTTCGACGGTAACAGCCACAAATTACTTTCATTTGGAGTCAGTATAGTCTGTTGTTGCTCGTGAATAGTTGTTTTCTTAAAGGCATACTAGGCCCATTGATTATGCAATGTTGACGAATGCTAGAGTAAAGTCCTGGCACCTTGTGTAGTTAATAAGTACATAACCTTATAGCCTAACGCGTATTAGTTTGTCCAATATCACTGCTGGTTACATTACAAGCAAGACTTGAAATCGGTGGTTGATATTCATTTACGTGCCGTAAATGTCAACCAGGAGTCAAGCGATGAGTCGCCAAAGCCGTTAATGTGAAAATAGTTGCAACAATTGAAAAATTAAATTAAATTTTAGAATGTTGAATTTTTAGAGATCAGTTAGCATTTATCAATAGACGCATAGTGTAGCATTACAAATGCGTTTGTTGGTAAGCATTATTGGTAGAGCTATAGTTAGGGTTAACCCAGTCACCACTGTACACAATTTTGATTATGTTTGGAATCTTACAAGTGTTTCATTTATTTTTTATTAGTTATTTATTAGTTCAAAGGCTGTACATTAATAAAAATAACATGTGTTTGCAACCTCCTAACATTCAATATCTTTTGGTAATAGGGATTAAATTATTAGTAAAGATTATTCTACTTGGTGGTTCTATCTATGCTTTAGGATCATCATAAAGATGGCGGTGACTCGGGATCGGAGTACATTAAGCTGAAAGTCCTTGGGCAGGTCTGTATTGATTACAATATTCTACACAGATAATAGAAACTAAACTGTTGGTACTGCTCGCTTCAAATTTGATTATAATTGTAGCTTTTTTGGTAATATATATATAGTGTATGTGTGCAGTCCAACATATATTTCGTGTATCAAATAATATTAAAGCTAGCCCATTGTCAGTAGTAAAAGCAATAGTACATTACATTTTTGTGTATGTAATTATGACACCACTTTTTCTGTAGACTTGTTATTGATTTTAGATTTTTAGACCATTATTTTAAAATTTTCAACCATTAAATCTTCAGGATAACAATGAGATTCATTTCAAAGTCAAAATGACAACAGCAATGGCGAAACTAAAGAAGTCGTATAGTGAACGAGTGGTAAGTTGATAATTTATGCAATAAGGCTAGAAAAAATTAAGAGAATGTTTGATTATCAATATTGATTTAATTAGTGTGTTTAATTGGATTGTGTGGTATGTAAACCTAAACTGTTAATTATTCATAACTTTGGAGTAGTTAACATATTTTTGCTCCTACTAGCATGAACAGCTTCTTCCTTCATGAGTGAACAGAAGCAAAAGTATGTTACATTAGAAAAGCTGACGAGTATGTTCTTTATTAAGTATAGAGTGCAATAGCAGGTGCAAAATTTTTGGCTTTAACCCCATCTGTCTCTGTGTGTTCATAAATAGGGAATACCAGCAAACTCGTTACGATTTCTCTTTGACGGACATCGGATAAATGACGAGGATACACCAAAGAAGGTATGCTTAGGTGCACTAGGCCAAATAAGGAGGGTTCAATCTTTTTATGACAAGGCAAGTATTGCCTTGAGGGTTTCATCAGAATTTTAGGACACTGCGGCAAGTTGGAGGAGCACTAAGACAAACATTTCTTTTAAAGAAGCGTTGTCAAGGCAACTTGCTTTTGTTAATAACACTTCATGTGGGACAAAGAGGAATACATTCAGAACATGAAATTTAAGGGTAGGGCTGTTATGGGAAACACCTCCTTATGTAGAATTGGTCCCTGCAATCCTGAAAGTGTATTTATCAGGCCAGCTCACACATGTCTTAGGTCCTTGAATGAAATTAGTATTATCCTTGGCTCCATTATCATTGTACATTTTTCAGCTTGAAATGGAAAATGAAGATGTCATTGAGGTGTACCAGGAGCAAACGGGAGGAGTATAACACCAAGGATATACCTCTGCAGAGTGATGCTGTATGAAAATCCATGAGAAATGCATCTAGCAGCTGGATTGGTTTGATGACACCAGCCTCCATTATGTGGGACATGGCATGGTGTTATGTACATACATTTTTATTATTTTAGATATAGCAAACAACTGTGGCGATAATCATTACTGCAAACTAATTTTAAAGAATGGTCTTGTACATCTGTGACTGAAAACAAATTGCCTAAGTGATCTTAGAATCTTTTAGACCTAAATAAGATTAGGAAGAGTGATTCATCAGGTTTTAAATACAAGAGCGATATTTTTGGAAGTGTATGCAAATATTCTCATTTATAGTTGCTATTAAAACTACATTAGTATTACATTGTTGAAAAAAACCATTTCAGCAAAACACAATTAATACCAATAGTCATTAACTACCAACTATAGTAGTTGTTTACCAGTAGTAGATAATAGGGAACTACTCCTATTATCTACTCCTGGTTTACCTATCTAATAATATTGGATGGCATTACTGACTTGTACAAAAAATGTGGAGAAAGAAGAATGCGGTTTTGATTATTAATGGTATAAAAATATGGTACTCGGTGTTACCCCACATTTTCTTATGTCACATGCATTTAAACCTAATTATGTGATTATTAGGCGAGTACATTTTTATTTTGAGGTAGTTTGTGTCCTAAAGCCCGGCGCACACGTGAGTTATTTTACTCAAGTAAAATGACGCATGAGTCATTTTACTCACGTGTGCGGCGGATTTTCGTTGAGTAATTTGACGCATGCGTCATTTTACTTGAGTAAAATAACTCACGTGTGCGCCGGGCTTAAAACAGATTTAACGTAAATACATTTTATGTGTAAATTGGCTTTAAATAGTACTTAGCCAAAAATCACGGTTTCTCCTTCAATTAGTGAACCTTCAAGAAAAACCATCAATGCTATCAAACATATTTCGATAATTTAAGTAATTTGCAGGAGGAAGATGATTGAAAAACTTCCACACATATGAGCATATGCATTTATATTCCATTTTCTTATAATATACACCTCATTCAAATTACATTGGTTCCTTGTATATTAGTAGACCTAACCTTCCTACATTATTCTGTAAAACATGTAATTGTTAGGAATTCCTGTTTGGCAGTATACGTGTCAACTCATAGTTTGTGTGTGTGTCGAGGTTCTAGCGCAAGGTTTCTCGGTTGTCTGTTGGTAGTGAGCAATTGGTAATCAAACGCCCTTTCTAATGCTAAATGCTACCATGTTCACTGTCAACAGCTATAGTGAGATAGTTTTTGTCTTGTTACATTTAAAAGCATAAAATGGTTGGAGAAGTTGTAAGCACTTGTTTGATGACTTGCAGTAGTTTGTTTTGAGTGAACTTTCTGTGTATTTGGTGTAATGTGTAACTAGCAAGGCATTGCTGTTTTGGAAGAAGTTTCCTGCATCTTCCATAATTTCCACTCGAGTAACTATAGCACAACCACGAGGCTTGAGTTGCTATATTGTAGTCCTTGTTTGAATAGTCTTACCCATTTTTTACACTTGTGTTATTACATCAAAATCGGTCATTATGATTATTTATAGCAGCAAGAGGACATATCCCCTACCGTCAACCAATGGTTTGGAGAGTACTATCGAGTTATTTCATGTATTTCGTCTACTTTCTTGTACAATCGGAGAACCTAGGCGTGTAGATCCTCACTACTGCTTAATGCTTTTGTATCCAGTTAATGAGTGGTCTATTGGAATGGTTAACAATCCTGTTTTCATGCCAGGTCACTCTTATTAATCAAAAATGTTACATGTTTTCCAAGCAAGTCAAGAATAATTCATCTGTTATCATGTTTTCCTTGAAGCTTTCCAACTATTTAGAGTAGTTAAGGTGTCGTAAATGTTTTTGTACTTCAGTGAAACTTATATTTGGACGTCATCTATAATAAAGATAAAACAATATATGTGATAATTTGTGAATGTTAGAAAATATTTTAACTCATTCAGAACTCGAAGTAGGGGGTTTTTTTTTTTTTACAAAATCCATCTTTATTTTAGAATTATTTTTGATAACTTATTTACAGTGGACCAACAGGAAACTGTCGGAACTTTGTACATTAACAGCGGCTACATGTGCCATATGAGAACAAGTTACGTACAATACATTATGTTGAACAAAATCTTCCTTCATTAACGAAATGATACCTACACAAGCTGCAACCCACTTGATTCTTACCAGCATAAGAATTTACTACACCAGATATTCCTGACATCATGTAAGTTGGATGGTCCTACCATGTCGTGAATGATAAAAGCACTAGTTAATAGGCTTAGACATACAAGTGTGCATTAACAGAACGTGTTATAGTAGTAACATCTGTAGCACAAAGCAGTCTACGGTTTTTTTTTTTTTTGGAAACGCGTAAAACCGGACATTCCTCACTAAGGCTGAGAGGGTCTATGTCCCCCGGGGACTGCCGGAACGTACCCTGGTACTATCTAATATGCCAGACCGTACCTCGCCTACTCCACTAACGAGTCTAAGGAGTCGCCTACGCCTACTCCCTAACCCTAACCATATCAGATAGTTACCAGGGTACGTTCCGATATATCGAACCGTACCCAGGGTACGTTCCGGCAGTACCCTGGGGGACATAGACCCTATGAGCCTCACTAAGTACACGACAAAAATATAATCATGTCTTCACTACACATTTACAATTATGCTTATGGTCTAGTACTCGTGTGTAAGTGTGCATGTATGTAAAAATCATGGCGGAACTTTTAAAAATGACAATTGCCGTAAACCCCAGAAAAAAACAGTTAAAAGAGCAACTTCCCATAAGAACTGATAATACTAACGTTATCTTTTCCACATGTAACTACAAAGAATAAATATGGATTCAGTGACGAGTCTAAAGTTATTGTTAAAGTGCTGCATCTACTAACCAAGCAGGAATATAAAGTGTCAATCTAATAATAACTAAAGCATAAAACTGTATTAATTTCAAAATTTGAAAAACGTTTCAATCCGCTCATATATTTAGTACCTTCAGACCAACTGGTGTAGCCATTTTGAGGTCTCCGATATGGTCTAGCCATTCTGAGTAGTGTAAATTTAGAAAAAACTACTATGCGTAGGCTGCTGGGATGAGTAAATCTGTAGTATACGACAGGTGTGCTTACAAATACTTTGCACATAACAACAGCGGTTACAGTAATGACCAGCACTAGATAACCACAAACAAATACTGTTAGTGTAGCTCATAGGGTCATGTCCCCCAGGGTACTGCCGGAACATACCCTGGGTACGGTCCGGTATACCGGAACGTACCCTGGTCACTATTTGATATTGTTAGGGTTAGGATTAGGGTTAGGGTTAGGGTTTGGGTTCAGGTTAGGGAGTAGGCGTAGGTGACTCCCTAGACTTGTTAGTGGAGTAGGCGAGGTACGGTCCGGCATATTAGATAGTACCAGGGTACGTTCCGGCAGTAACCCGGGGGACATAGACCCTCTCAGCGTTAGTGTAGTCTGACTTAATTGTAGTAGTATTTGTTTTATCATTCAATTGTTTCAGATTTGAATGATATCTACTAATCACAAGTTAACAGATAGCTAGTGTTATAATTAAGATCTGGGTAGCAACTTTTGTAACTGAGTGGTCTAGCAGAGCAAGTTTACAATATAGCTACCATAAAAAGTGAGCATTTAAGGTGCCACAAGAACGTTCCGATGAGTTCTGATTTGTGTACGTTTGAACAAGCTTGCATTATACAATCGTATTGCAATTTCCACAGAAAGTGATAAACATAAGATGGAGCTCACATGTAGATTAACAGTACAAGAAAATGTTACACTGGATAATATCTGAACAAAATATAACATGATAGTCTGATAATCCCACTACATCATGTTAAATTGCTAGAAGGCAGCATCGACATATTAATGCACCTTAAACAAATTGTACCACAAGGGAGGCAACCAGCTACATCTGTTGGAATATCACGTATTTGTGCATCCTCGCTATTATTCGCATAGGATAATATGGCTGATAGGGTCTATGTCTCCCTGGGTACTGCCAGAACGTACCCTGGTAACTATCGTTGAGAGGGTCTATGTCCCCCAGGGTACTGCTGGAACGTACCCTGGGTACGGTCCGGTATACTGGAATGTACCCTGGTACTATCTAATATGCCAGACCGTACCTCGCCTACTCCACTAACGAGTCGCCTACGCCTACTCCCTAACCCTAACCCTAACCATATCAGATGGTTACCAGGGTACGTTCCAGTATACCGAACCGTACCAAGGGTACGTTCTGGCAGTACCCTGGTGGACATAGACCCTATGAGCGTAACTATCTGATATGGTTAGGGTTAGGGTTAGGGAGTAGGCGTAGGCATAGGCGACTCCCTAGACTCGTTAGTGGAGTAGGCGAGGTACGGTCCGGCATATTAGATAGTACCAGGGTACGTTCCGGTATACCGGACCGTAACCAGGGTACATTCCGGCAGTACCTAGGGAGACATAGACCCTTGCAGCGATAATATGCAGACAGGAATGCAAAATGACAAGTATTAGATGACAAAAATTCCTTCCACACGCCTATAATCTGCACTGCTTTATAACATTGTCTATCAAAATATGTAAGTGCCACTGGAAATCAATCCCAGAGAATATCCCCTTGTAGTAATATCCAGATTTCAAAGAAACTACTTTGAAAAATGCAATTTTGTGCCAATACACTAGAAAACAGACCACATTTCTAAACATTGCCCAATTACATGTCGACGTGTAACGATAGCGTATGTATCACATTCACATTCTCAACAAATTTGCAGTAACCAATGAAGTGAATGTGCATCACCAGTAATCCATGCTGCCTGCGACGCAAACCAACCAGACTTGCATAGACAACTGCATGTACACATGCCACCTGAACAGGCACTTGGCCTGTTTAAATAATAAACAGTAAATAAATACGAATTATATTTACCATCAATATTTTTATGTTTACGTACTCTATATATGTCCTGTAAACGCCATTCAAACACTTTTCTAATACACTAAATCTTACGGTAAGTGCAAGATAAAGCAGATGGTAATGCATCGGAGCCAAAATTGCAAACTGCTTGCATCGTTGCAAACTAGAACAACACAAATAGACAGCCAAGCAACCCAAGACATGACACAGATATGAAAGAAATTATTTGAAATTTGAATGAATTGAACTAGTGAACACTTATTACACTATTACGCGATACAAATATTTCTGTATAGACAAATGTTCACTTGTTCAAAAAATGTTTTACATGCATGCAACTCGATTTACTCAGAGTAAGCTCGCAAAATACTGTAACAGATTTGCTCTCCGTGGAAATGTAAAGGAGAGGATTTAGCGTTTGATATCTGAATATCCCTACTAGCACTATTGGTCACGTCAACAAGTTTATTCATTGTATGTAGCTTGGTTTGCAGTCGATTTGCAGGAATCGGTTTGAAGCTGAGAAGCAGGGCGCAGTTAACCGAGTATGCAGTGCACCACCATTATTTATGTACAAACCACCAATTCCTCCCATTTACATCACCACCGAGAGTGAATTTGCGTTGTTGTTCTTGTGTGTAACTTGTGGACAGCAGGGTGCGAAATTAACGTCAGTCCGGAGTCAAATACTCCATAATTTACTGTCGGACTCCCTGATTTGACATATGCAGGAGTCCGTGTGACTCCCTGAAAATTCTGCTATACTATCTAGTTCGTTCCAGAGCATGGCCTCACGGAAATGCCGTATTTTTTCAGCAAATGTCCAAAGACAATTTGGCGGATGTGCAACCGCATGAATCTTCAAAATAAGCACATGCGTTATTGTTAATATCTTTAGTTTTGAAGTTCAGACTGCGGACTCCCTCATTTTGCTGCAGACTCCCTCTTTTTGAGGGCAGGGAGTCCGTTGGACTCCCTTGTTCAAAAGTTCATTTCTACCCCTGGGACAGTGGTGTCGATACTGTTAAGTTGTGTATTGTCAAGGAATAATTAAATGGCATTTACATGGGATTTTAGATGACATAGAGCACATAGGCATGAGAAATTTGGTAGTAAATATAATTCGTAATTATTTACTGTAATTTTATTATTGAAATGGCCCAAGTACCTGTGGCCACCTGCAAACCAGCTCACTGAGATTACCACCCAAACCATCTACCTTTAAATAACCCTGTACACCATCACTTCTTGAACCCAAGAGAATTACTTTCTCTTCTTCCTCTTTGGGCTTAGCTGTGTCTGAGTAGTTGGTAGCCAAGGCAGGCCAAATTCACTTAAATGAGAAGGAAAATGGCATGAATTTTAGCATATTTAATACAACTATATGAATTGTAGCATATTTAATACAACTATATGAATTGTAGCATATTTAGCATATCTAGTTGATATGTATGTTTAAAGTTGCTTAACCTCACAGCTAAATGCATATATAGACCTACTGTGAGCTCATCTATGTTGCAAAAATTCACTAGAACTCATTTGTATTGCTACTTTCATAACATTTCTTCTCAAAATCTAAACGAATTACTTCTCTTACGAAAGTAGCGCCACAGTAATGTCTACACATCCGGGACACAGCGGAGCGATCGTTAACAGTTCTTTTCTATGATAAAACAAGTTATAATTCATTATTATGTTTGTTCAGTACAAAATTGTGAAATTTGTTAAAATCATATCGTTATATATATTACTTAATAAATATAGTGATTTCGTTCCAGGAACTATTTGCGCTAGCGCAGGGCTACTACTAGCTGTGTGACATAACATCGGATGTAATTTTGAAAATCCCAATGTTTGTAGCACTTCTCTGGCCCAATTAGAACATTTCGTGACGTTTGCACACTGCAAGTATGCTCACAGTAGGTCTATATATAGGCTTTTTGTTGCGAGGTTTATCCATTTTAACGTAACTATATGAATTCTAGCACATTTAAAACATATCTAGTTGAAATATATTTTAACATAACTACACGAATTGTACTACATTTAACAACCTTAGCTTAAAATGATATTTGTGAAATCACTACATACACACACTTACAGGCTACTTATTATAGACAATTATATTTGTTGAAAAATTGTATATTATCAGCAGGATTGCACTTGCGGGTTGCAGGTTGCAGGTTTAACAGTAACATAGTGGTGAGCAAATGTGCATTACCTTATACCACTCCATCACTGAGCTACCAAATGCCAAAGTACTACATACGTATTAACTTTGACAACTAATAGAGCCACATAAATTCATACATTCCATATATATATATAATAAGCCTATATAATAGGTATTTACTTACCTTTGCTCACAATTGGGTATAACACAGCCAAATGCTACCACTGGAACCGTGTTACAAATTTCTATCACCTGAGCTGAAATAATTACATAAAAATACATATATAAACACGAGATACAATGCAATAGATTTCAGTGATCGAGTGCATAACACAGCTGCTACAAAGACATATCATTAAATAAAAACATAAACCAAGTACACATGGTCCAAATCCTGAAACAACATACTGTCTAACAAAAGTGATAACCGAGAAACGGGTTTATTTCTTTAATAGAAAGTTTATGTAATTTGTCAAATAACTGTATGTAAAATTGGATATACTATGACCTCAACTGCATCCACTATCTTATTGGGTGAGGACAGGCATGAGGTGGGAAAAACCTAGTACTCACCATTATCTGGAAGAGGATAAAGAGACTCTATTGGATGCTCCACAGAGTGTCTACGTTTGTCCTTGTTTCCATGCCGTCCACTCTCCAATTTCTCCAACATTTTTGCCTCTCTTAGACGCTGTATATCCCACCTGAACATGCACACTTTTCTACATTAATCCCAGATGTTGCAAATTGCAATTTGTAAATTACTACCAATTATTTGGAAAACGAAACGTAAAATTGTCCTTAACGATAATTCATAAGAAAGGCCTCCTACAGTCACATCAATATTCGATTGCTGGCTACCAATAAATGTTATGCAGCCAGTTGCTAACATGTTTGATGGCTGTGCTTGCTGTCGAGGCAACCTTGAATGTCATTTTTATATATGATATACGAATCCAGCCTATGTTTACTTTCTATGCAGAGATAAAGAGAAAAGTAAAATAATATAATTTACATACCTCTTTCTGCGTTTCTCATCCATTTCGAACTTCTGGTGCCTCTTAAGAAATATATCGTCGTCTATATTCTAAAGAGAAAGACATTGGCATAAATCACTAACATTCATAAGGGTTTTCACCACGCATCTAATGCATGTCGGGGTTCACATGCCTTAAAATTTGAATCTAACTGGAACATCCCACATATAATCCCAAAAATCTTCTGGCGGTACTTAATTGCCTAATCAGCATAACTTCATTTTGAGCTGCGTTTACTTTTGGCAATCCAAACACAGTCATGCTGTGTTATGACAGCTTGATGTCCACACATCCAAACTGATCGATTTTACCTGTGTATTGGGGCCCCTTATAAAATGTGCAATTGACTACACCTGGTACAACCCCTTCCGGGTCCTTCCCCATCCGCCCATAAATAACGTGCCTTCTAAAAATCCTAGAGAAACTGTGATTCACTATTTACCAATTTATCCCAATTCCGCCACACTTTGGTTCCACCACAATTGGGTTACCCGACAAATAAACCTCAACTTATAAACAAATACCTACTGCATAATTAAATTACGCCTCACAACTGATAAACAATTGATCTGCTTATATACTGACTCTTGCCATATCAAATTCTCCACGTTGCCAACCTGATTTCCATTTTTGTCAGATCACCTTGTTAACGACTGCACATGCCAACACTAATACAGCTAAATGAGCTTTTCTTGGTGCACCATCATCATGTGATGGCCTCAGCAATGCAATCAACACCTGACATTGCCAAACACAGTGTATGCATTTTTAGGGCCTAAAGAAGATTTTTCTTATACATAATGCAATTATAATGTGAAATTTACATCCTCCCATTCATGAACCACATTTCCCTTTCTTTTTCTTCCCAGAGCACTCTTTCTAATAACCCAAGAGATCAACTTGATAATCCATCAGTGTAACCCTACCTGAGAGTCACCTATAACTTGTTAAATCATTCACTCACTTCTGTTCCTTCTAATGTGTAGCAACTAGGTAATGGATGTAACCTCCATGTTGGAATCTCAACTGTAAATAGGCACAAAAATAAGTAAGTAGTAATAGTTTTCAACATTAACTTGCATTAAAAATAAAATTAATTTCCCTATACACCATGATTTATTAGCTCTATTACACCACTCTTCAATAGAAATTAGATGTTAATATCTAAATTGCACAGTTATTGCTTATTAGCATGTTTAGTGGCATTATTTCTTTGCTGCCTGTTGCAGTGACAACTCAAGTTGCACTTTTGATGTTTATCATCCCTAGTTTAAAACTGGGTGCTTAAACTTGTTTTAACGAATTAAATGATAAGTGATTGCAATAACCTAGACATCATTTAGACTGAATAAATCTATATTTCACTGGAAGTTTTCCAAGTTAAAGTTATTAGGGATAAAAATATAATCTTACTTAAGTATGTTACAAGCTCCACGTTCTGAAACTCATAAACATAAAATTAAGCACACCTCCTCTAAAATATATATACAGGTTACACACATTGCCTCACCCATCATTTTCTTATGACTATCAATGACACTGTCCCCGTTGGCTGTCTCAATGCTATACGAGTAGTACTCAGGTGCACGCAGGATGTTGTTCTCCTCATCACTCAGCGAGTCAGACTTGCGCAGTCGGCATGCAACCGCCGGCTCATTTTCTGCAGGGCGGGACTGCGGCTTAATGCGCTCCCTCTGTTCTCCTCGGGTCGACTGCCTTGTGGATTTCGCACCACGTTGATGCACCCGGTTGTAGGTCCTGTGGCACGTGCAAAAATAGCATCATTTCTGAACTTCAAATGAAAATGCTTATTTTCCATGGCTATTTTTTGTTGTGATATGATAAGAAACAATTATTGTCATCTCAAACAAGGAGGTTCACTAGACATGTGCATCCTTATGGAAATGCTTGAATGAACAAGCAACAACTATAACATTTAAAGTAAACTATGACCATTATACAGACATGTTTCTCAGCAAATCTGATAACTCAGCAAGAGCATAGAAGAAAATATCACCTGCACTTTTTTTAAAGTTTGATGTTTTCCAATGCTTCAGTTGTTTGAAATCAGTTCATTTTTTTAATAAATATGAATTGTTTCACAACCAATCTTTATATACTATCAATCAAATAAAAAATATTTAATTTAGCCACTTTTTTGAGTATCATACATCCTTGAGCACCATTCTTTTTCCATTGAGTAAGGAAAATAATAGATCACAGGATATATGTTAACACGGCTGGGTGTATTCAATCGACCGCATAAATTTAGAGACCTTTCATTAGGCATGAAAGCACGTGTATGTTATTATGTACATGCCTTTTCCTGCCTCTACCAGCTTTAGTCAATACATGAGGTCGCATCCGAGTCTTGCTGATAGTGTCAGAAGTTAAGGCGACCGTCTGTGTTGCTTTACTAGTTGTAACCTTCACCGGTGGTAAAGATGGTGTGCTGGGCGCAAGTTCTGTTGTTGCTTCTATTTCAACTGAAGGCTCAGGTACTGTACAAGGCTGAGATAGATCCACTTCATTAGTCTTAAGCATGACTTTCTCAGCAGTAGAAGCTGGCACGGAACTATCTGTCTCCGCTGCTTTCTTCTTAAGAGCTTCAGCCTGTGCATGTTTCTCCTGTTTAACCGCCTTCTGTCGAAGCACTGAGATCCTCCGTTCCATACGAACCAATCGACATTTTAACTGTGAAAAGTAATAACAAGACAATAAATTAGCAACTCTAACAAAGAATTGACAAGAAATATAAAGGATAAAAATGTCCCATACTTGGTAGTGGTGTAACGGTTAACCGCGGTTAACCGAAAACCGCGGTTTTTGCGCCACCATTCGGATATTCGAACCGTCGTTCCGTTTTCGGCTCGGTTTTGGTTCCACATTTTATATATACCCGATATATACGCTTTTGAGATACGCGCACTGCGATTGGCTGGTCGTAAACTCTCGGCCAATCAGCGAGCAGATAACATTGATAGACCACTTGCTACATGCCACGAGAAGGTCAAAGCATTCATTTTGTCTGCAAAATAATTGGGATTGTGTTTCTTACACCTAATCAATGAAGTACAAAGACACTGAGATGGACTATTGGACATATTTGCCTATTTGGTTACTTTTACTGAAGTCAAATATTTGAATTTCCTGTACAAAGGTTTTGTTGAATTTGCCCTAACATTTGGGTATTGTATATTAAAGGTTTGTTGTTCAAAGAATTTTAGTGACATTATTATTTAATATTTATAAACCAGTCTGATTATTAAATTTGCACTTCTGTTTGGTGTTATAAGATTTGTAATTGATCGCAAATATTCGAACCGAAAATAACCGAACCGAAGTGTGAAAACCGAAAACCGAACCGAACCGTGAAGTTGTGATTCGTTGCACCCCTAATACTTGGCATGCTGGCACTCACCCTTAATTAACTGATGCTTAACAGCAAACTGACAACTGTAAGTAGCAAAAATGCTGCTTGGTGCTCTTATTCTCGAACCCTGAATGTAATCACGACATGCTGACATGTGCATCGGTGCATGTGTGCTTGCCCATGTTGTTTGAAAAATCCGCCTATAATGTCAGCCTCATTGCAACCACACAGAGAATCATGAATGCATTCTTAGTTGGTTCTTGGCTTAGTGAAAACACATAATCACAACATTACTACTGCTTCTCTCTTGGTACGTCTAGACGAAAATGCTGTTGAAAACAACTAGATAATCAAGGTTGCTATAAGCCTTCCATGAGCAGCTGGCTTGGAGACTATACAGTTACTTTGCACTTACTTTACTTTCCAAACATTTTTTTGTCATCACCATACTGTAATTGATATAATCATCTGTATTAAGCATGAATAAATACTTCTGAACTATGAACTAGTAAGAATTTGATTAGATAAAGAAATTTGAAACATGGCCATTCAAAACTGGTGTATCCTTAAACCAACATTTTTGAACAAAACTCAAGTTAGGTTTTCCCGAGCAACGCAGGGTAACCGGCTAGTTCAAAATACAAGAATAGACTGCACTTTACTTATCACTGTATAGCAATGGCAATGCACTGCACAGTATAAAGTAAAAAGTAGAATGTGACAGACTGACAGACAAACACATACAGTAGTACCTGCTTTAATTTATCAAAGCCATGAAAAAGACTCGATTAAGCACTGGACCAATTAAACAGTGAATTTTATGGTTGGTAACTTAATTGGTATGTATGTTTTATCGCTGTAGCTATATGCTCGGCAGCCGGGCACGGTCTTCGATTTCATAAATGCCCGGCAGTTCCTAACCCTAACCCTTGTTTACTTGAGATAACGCTGAAAATTAAAAACTGCCGGGCATTTACTGATTTAGGAAATCGAAGACCTATGCCGGCTGCCGGGCATATATAGCCACTCTGATGTTTTATTATATTTTAATTTTTACACAAAAACGGCCCTCAAATGATTATGTAATTGTAACTCGGTATTCGGTAATACTGGGTTACTGTCCAATACTGTTTCAGTGTTTGTAAATAGAAACTTATACAACTCAAAACATGTGACCTTTGACCTGAAGCATCAATATCTATGACTTATGAGTATGGGTATGACCTGACCTTGTCATGCTTTACACAAGTCGGTGTCGCCATTTTCCTGGCAACGTTCGATTCCCAGTTGTAATGTGTATTGTGTATTATCATCATGGACGGTATTTCATGACCATGAGTATAATGAAAGCATGAAAGTATAATGAGGATGAAACAAATGCATACCGATTCTTTGTCTTGTTGATATCCCCTAATTTGCCGATCTTTAGTTCGAAGCTCATCCTGTTGCTGATGAATTACGTCGAGATTTAACAACAACAATTCTTTCAAATGCTGAACCTCGCTCTTTTGAGAGGTTTTGAGTAGTTTAGCATCGTCGCTCCCTATGCGAAAATCTCGTTTTACTTGATGTACCAAGCTATGAACATTCGACATATCTGCATCATTTTTAAGACCTGTGGCATCCGAACCACACGTATCTGTGTCGTTACCGCCGATGTGAGAACGACAGTCCATAACAACGCTATTTCCGTGGTCGCCATCATGCCCGTTCAAAAGCATCAAATTCTTCGCCATTTTGCACCGTTCTATGAAACTGTTGTCGTAGGTGTTGAGGTCATGAATTCCAGTGAAGTCTGATTTCATGGTACGGCGTGTGTACTTCGTATATCAGTAACTGAGCATAAAGAAAAACATAATCAAAGCAGATGAACATGCTATACGAACAAGCACCGCAATGCTACCATTCTTGCAGCAGCAAGAAAATGACGTCACTGAAACTGGTGCAGATGTCAGAGCTAGTGTAGGAAATAATATAGAACACAAGTCGGAATGAGCGCGTTCACGTCTCTGTGGCGCAATTGGTTAGCGCGTTCGGCTGTTAACCGAAAGGTTGGTGGTTCGAGCCCACCCAGGGACGATACGTTTTGTTGTTCTTTCGTTTTTACATATTTTTTGACCTAAACATAATATACATAAAAATTTCTTACAAACTGCGCAGCCCTACTATACTGTTGTAAGATATAAGTATATAGTAATAGTATATAGTAGTGATGTATAGTTGTTAGGTATGATACTATATACTCGTATAAGAACTACCAACAACGGGCCTACAAACGTTAAAAATATTCTGATACACAAATAATAAGTTTATGTTTTGTATATAACACTTGCATAACGCTTCGCATGGTTATTTTTTTTTATAATGTCCTTTATTTCCAGAAACACATATTATGTTCATTACATTATATTATACGTTATACAGAATATCTACAACACTGTGATGGTAACATAGTTCAGTGATGGTACAAACAGGTAAATGGCATAAACAGTTTTACAAAGTAGGCCTAGTGCATATATGAGCGTACTAATTATACTTCGTTACAAGAAGTTCATAAATGAAGGTAATTAGCATAGTAGTAGCTGTAGGCATTGAGCATGAGTTTCGCATGGTTATTAACAATGCTGTTTAATTACTATTGCTATTATTATATAAGAATTATTAATAAATAAAAATGTGATAAAATCAATAAATAAAGTATTTAAAATTCGCAAAAAGTAGATCAATATTACGGGTGCGTTTGTGTAACTTTATTTCTTACAATCCAATATTTTTCCAAATAAACATAATTTTATTGAAATTAGGCATTTAAAGTAGCGAGCACATATCGTCACGTGTAGTTTCATATATATATATACATATAGACGATCTAGTATATCATTTCTATTAATATTTTGTTATTAAAGCTATCTAGCAAGGGTCAGTAGGACTGGGGTAGGTGCCACCCTAACATTCAGAGAAATTGTTAAAAAAATACGTCTCAGACACATAAATAACCACAAAATAAATGTAATAAATTAAATAGATCTAAACTATCACTTTTTTCCCTAATCTTATAGTGTGGGTTGGTTCTTTGCATCATAAAAAGTATGCCCCGCCAATAAGTGATATCGGAAAGTCCAGCTGTGTTATTTAAGTCATAGAAAAAAAGGGTATAAATACTATAAAATGGCCGAGGCGCGCTTAGAAAAGTACATGATTAATGTAAACGCTCGTGCGTTTTTAGTTTTTGCATTTACACAAACATTGCAAAATATCCCAAATGACCACAATCATATTCGTAAATGTTTCTGTAAACAGAAACGCACCTGCATGTGAATTGAAGTACGATATTAGTGAAGAAAATTATAGATCAACAAGTGCCGCAGAGCGACAGCGCTCAACTGGCGTGTACTGTAGCCAGGTATACTTCTGATAAACTCACTGGCAACCGAATCAAGTGCGCCCTCCCGCCACCGCGTTCGCGCTCAGAGCATAGCGTAGGTCGAGCCGTTGAGATTTGTGCCGCAATTCCGTATTTCCTGCTATACCTTAAGTTAAGGGGGAAATATTACCCCTCCATTGACACATTTTGACCTTTGACCCTTGACCCCCAAATTCGACATACCGAGTCCTTTTCGCGATCTCCCCCGAAGTTCCGAATATCAAGACCGTACGTCGAGCGGTTAAGATTTGTGCCCAACTGTTGACGGACGGACGGACGGACGCTCATGCGATTCTACAAGCTGCATCGGACTTCGTCAGCTGAGCTAAAAACCTAGACTAGTACTATCGTCACCATGTTATATATAGGCAACTTATACCCCTTCTTATCTGATCTCAATATGGCGGCGGGGACTTTCCGATATGGCTTATTCGTATAATTTGTTAACGCTAAGATTTTCATCCGTAAGAATTTATTTAGGCTACGTGCAGCCCGGATTTCCTGTTATATATTTCATACAAATACACACACTATTATCTTAACCGTTTTGCCCACTATGCGAGGGGTTTATTTTTAATACAAATCTTTATCCACTAAACACCGGGATATCAAATTACATATCTACACTGCATGTGACAGGTGCAGTGAAGATAGGCATTGTGAACCCATATCCATTGTTCAATAAGTCAAGCGCACCGCAGTTTTACGAACCTCTTTTCAAGAACATACAGTCATATCGAAGTTAGGAATGGCTGGGGCAGTGCGCTAGCGACATAATTATGCCAAACTAAACACGTATATCTAATAATATATAACTACGGTTATTTATGTGTCTGAGACGTATTTTTTATTTTTATTTCTCTGAATGTTATGGTGGCACCTGCCCCAGTCCCGCTGACCCATGCTAGATAGCTTTAATAACAAAATATTAATAGAAATGATATACTAGATAGTCTATATATATATAATATATATTTCTATGAAACTACACGTGACGATATGTGCTCGCTACTTTAAATGTCTAATTTCAATAAAATTATGTTTATTTGGAAAAATATTGGATACGCGCGAACACAGCTTCCGGAAACCTGGGCCACCTAATAATATTGAAGTGAGGCATTGGGATATACATTTCACAGTTCACATTACTATTGCTCTACTATTACTATTATCTATTACTATCTACTCTTATTCTTCTACTTCTACTCTATTACTATCTACTCTTATTCTTATTATCTATTCTTATCTTTACTATTACTATTATCTACTATTACTATTGCTCTACTATTGTTCACATTACTCTCTACTATTAATGTATAAGTTCGACTCTTCTTTTGGGAAATACTGCGTTGGTAGGTACTTTCAGGCATATACCTCTATGCTACCGAATAGCGGAGTTCGGGAGGAATAAATTATTAAATATTATTAAAACGAAAAAAGGTTAGATGTATTTTGTTGCACTACTGGTGATTATATGCTTACCGTATTAATTAAATAATTACAACAAACTAGTATTACTATTGGCAGACACGTATTGGGCATGCACAAACAAACGTCTCACGTAATGCTACAGTTTATAGAAATTCAGAGTGTGGGCGTCTTACAAGTATTAAAATGAAATCTGAGAATATAGACGTTTCGTGTCAATACGTCGTTTTGTTGGAACAGAGATATCCCCTGACGTTATGCAGTGAAACGGGAGTCGGGAATACTCGTCGCCTGATAATTATTAAAATGAGACACTAGAATAGACATTTTTATATCAAAGCGACTGGTGAGTATGCGCTATTTACTATAAGTGTGTAATTTTAACTATGTTTTTTGGCGATTGCAGGGTATACACGAACACGGTTTTCTCTTTGTCCGCTGTGATAGGTGAATTTGGGAATTCGGACCGTTTACGCCAACCCTTTGGAGAGTGTGTGCTCCCTAATGTAAATGTATAATTTCAACAAAATAATGCATGCGCGAGCACAGACCTCGGAAAGACATGTTGTTCATGTAATTCTTACAGTGAAAGAATAGAGTACCGAAGTGATGACGTCACGGTGGCATGACAACGAACCTACTGGTTCTACACAATCAATGCTCTGGTAACATTAACTGCGTGTCGTGTTTTGTACCCGATTGTAACTATCATTCTGAGTCATTATTGCAGTTTTTATAGATTTCCAAAGGATGGAAGTGAAAAACAACGAAAAAAAAAAAAAAATTAACAAACAAAAATTTAAAACAAAAATTTAAATTTCTTTTTAATTCATTAAATATTGTAAGATCGACTTGCTACCGATGCTTTACCGCTGTCTGCAGCGCATTTGCTCGCTGGTCGCCCTCATGGCAGTAATCGTATGCGTTACGTGCGTGTGTAATTTGTTCACCTTCGAATTTGTTCGTAACGCACATACGCATAGAAAACAGAGAATGTGGCACGCACGCATGCCGCTTCGCTGCTCGCACGCATGCGCTGATCTAACGGACGCTATAATACCTCTATCGACGCCGACGTGACCGTCAGCACAATGTGCGCATGTGCATAGGCGTGGCTTGCGCAGGTAATTTCTAGTATAATACCGCTTGAATTTTACAGGAAGCAACATGCAGATGTAAAGGCAAGCAACGCAACCACTTGCCACCTACTATTGCCCGCTACCCTTTGCGATACCAGGTAGGAACGAGATAGGTTTAGTTTATAATATAGCACGAAGAGAAACATTTGTTTATTAACGGAGCCTAATTTTGTTTATTCGTTTATAGTGTTGTTTGTTAGGCGTGCGTGTATACGTGTTTGCGCGCTTGCGTGCGTGGAAGTGAGAGTAAAAATGTACATCGTACTTGAGATTGTATTGCTTGTACTAGCCTTGTATTGCCTACCTCGCCGTTGAACTGATAAAATGAACGTTACTTAATTTGTTGTTTGTTGTTTTCCTCAAGGCGCCCCAGTTGCACACATCGCCGTCAAAGATCAGTATTTAAAAACACTGACATCAGGTCATCATGAGTTCACAGAAACTAAAGTTCTACTTCTGCCCAGCCAGCGCCCCGTGTCGGGCGGTGCATATGGTCGCTAAGGCTGTGGGTGCCGACTTTGATATCAAGAACGTAGATATCATGAAGGGGGAACACCGTACCCCCGAATATGCTGCTGTAAGTCACTCTACTCACACTGGACGTGAACTAATAACGCGTTCCGAATGGACATTTCCAATTCGTACTTTTGTCAGAATGTTTATATGAAAAGATGTTTCGGTACTTATAGGTTGGCGTAGTACGTATATCTATCTTTAGTGACATCAGTTACACCATATTGGTATTGAAGATTTTAATTGTGATACGACAAGCTCTTGCTAACGTGTAGACTAACAGTATTGTAAAGAGTACTAATATATATAACTGTCAAGAGTTACATTAAAATATAATATGTGATCAATGAGATATGAATCGAAGATGCGGGAAGCTTAGAGATAGAAGTTATGGAATCAGACACACTCACACACACACACACACACACACACACACACACACACACACACACACACACACACA